CCCCCAAAACCCCAAAACCCCAAAACCCCTTTGTTCGTGACTTATACTGAAAATTTAGGCATAAAGAAGGATTTGAATTTAGAGTGAGGATTTTTAAGGATTAGAGGGGTTAGTCTTCGTCATCGAGGAGAGCAAGTTTGGCTTTTATGGCGCTAAGATACATGTCGTTCACTTCAATAGTCTCTTCAACATTCAAACCGTCTTTAGTATTAAGAATCTAAACAAATCATTAAAGTAATTTACTTTTTCTTTCTGATTGGCTTTACTTTCTATCATGCCTGCGAGGTTCTTGATCTTCTCTACTTTATTATCATTAGCACTATGAGAAATCCTTTGCATGCTATTTTTCCATCGGTTTGTTCGTTCTTCTAAAAATTTAAGGACTTATTTACCGTCTAGCTTTTCACGCTTGTGGTTCTTCAACTTCCTGGGAGACAATCGCTTCGCTCTGAGTCCTTTGTGAACTCTCTTGGATTTCTTCATGATGATTAATTTCTTTGGTTTCTTTTCAGAATATTTGGCTGCTTCAGTAGTAGAATAAATAGTCTTTGGAACTTCACTAAAATTATTCTCAGGGTGTTCGTTAGAAATCTCATCCCCAAAGTTCTCATTTTCATTGAGTGTGAACTTTCCAGTACTCTTATGCTTTAGCTTTCGAGTGGAGTTCTTTGCACCCCTTGAAACCAATCTAGAGTGATTCCGGAGGTTGTTTAAAGGGGTCCTATGATTTATCGCTGATAAGCTGGATATCCGGGATTGGCCAACTAAATGAGAGGTGGAATTCCAAGGATTCTCTCCATGGAGATTATACAAATCATGGTACCCTGCACTACTGGGTATTTTCTTGCCTTCTTTTACAGGATGCTTAGCTTTCTCTTTCAGATGCTCCATCTCTTCTTTCTTATTTCTCTGAAACTATAGGCTTGTGGACTTGTTGTACAAACTGTCCATAGGTCATCTTTTTCTCAGCAAGAAGGCGCTTATTTATTCATTCGATCAAGTAGTTCCTTCTTCTTTCTTTGGTCTTCTTCAAAGACTTTTTGATTAGTTTTGGTCTTGTACTTTTCAGGGTGGTAGTCAATATTAGCAGCTTTTCGCATTCTTTCTTCCTCTAGCTCAGCCATTCTTTGTCGAACAACAGATTCGTATTTATTTGATGTTAATAAAGATCTCCTTCTTCTGGTGTCTTTTGCCTTTTAATTCACGGATTTCCTTCAATTTCTGCTTCCTACTCTGAAGTTCTGGAATTTCGAAGTTTTCATGAAATTTTTTCTCAAGTTTATTTGTAAAGAGGCTCTAGAAGGTTATGAAAATCTTACCTTTAGCTCGACATTGGCTAATAGTCATTCGGCTGTATTAATAAGAAGAGTTATTTACCTTCTGTTCAAGAGTTCTAGTTCGTCAATTTTCTTTCTCTCTTTATCTTTAATCCTCTTCTCTAAAACCAAGTAGTATAATCCAACTTCCAGTTATCCTATCAGAACCAAATTGATATCCAAATGTATCATGTTTCATTCTATACCCTCTTCTTACCTATTTCAAGCCTTTTGAGTTCATACAATTCATTTTTCTTGCGTTCTTCTGCTTCTTTTTCCTCCTTCAATCTCTCCTGATATTCTATCTCTTCCATCTGTCTTTGTAGTATCTCTTTAAGCTTTCTTTCTTCTCTGAATTTATTTTTCCTATAAAGAGTTTAATTTACAGAGTGCTTTTGAAGTTATTGGCAAATTTTGCAATAATGTGTTCAGAAGGAAAATTATAGCCAGAACCAGAAAGTGTGAATGAAGGCTAAGAGTAGTCATAGAGTTTAGATCAACCATGTATGGGGAAACCTACCTTGTTTAACCTTCTAACTAACGCTTTTGCCTTCTCAACCCCCTCTTCGTGACCTTCCTTTAGGGCTAAGGGAGATTGCCTTATTGGAGTCACTGGCTGAGGAGGGGCAGATGGGACTTGTCTTTTTACCCTCTTTTCTATATCAACAAAGATTGGTTTGATGCAACAGAAATTTTATGAGCTTGTTCAAAAACTTTGAGGTGATTGTATAATATGAAGCCTTGAATTATAAAATTCTTTGAAATTTGAATTACCTTTCTTCTTTTTCAATAGTTCTAGCTCTTCTGGGTCAGGATTCAAGTATTCCCCAACGACATACCTAAGAATTTAGCTTTACTTTCTTACTTCAGTATGACTATAAAATACCGAAATTAGACTTAAAAACTAAATTTTTTTAATTCCAAAAATCTCTTTATACATACCTCTGCGGTTAATTTCTAAGAGAGAATCAAATACACCTTCCATCATTACATTCGAAGTCTTGAGTTTCTTTTTCGTCCTAGTAAGTTCTCTGTTAAAATATCTCCCGAATTGAGTATCCAGGGGATACTTAATGCTTACTGGAGATATCTTCCTCACATGTTTAGACACTGATGGTGACCTCACCGGTGATGAAAGATAGGAATGATTAATAACTCCAGTCGAATGCTGCTTCTGGATCTGCATCACAGAAGGAGAGGGGCTCTCGTGAGCCCCTTTCGCCTCCTTCACTGGTGAAGAATTCTTCCGAATGCTTTTCGGCTTTTCAGGAGAAGACATCTTCTCATTAATCTTCGATAAATTCGGCGAAAAATCTAGCTTCAAAGGAGTCTCTGAAGAAATCCCGGGGATCCCGGGATTCCTTCAAGGACTGGTGAAGGACTTCCTTGAAGCTCCTTTCGGCTTAATTACCTGTCAAGACTCTGGTCATTATATCTGACTCAAAAAGATCGTTATTATCTCTGATCTGCTGAAATTTCTTCGGAATCACTCTATTATAAGATTTATGTCTCTGATGGTATGACTCAAGTGTCTATAAGCTTTAATAAATTTCATGACTTGGTGGAATAGTCTTCTCGGCAGAATTAGTATAAACAATTTGTAGCCAATATGGAAAATTTCTACAGAAAAGACGAGAACTAAGGAATCGAAATGATCCAAAGCTATTTTGTTATGAAATTACTAGAAGTACTCACATAAAACTCCCTGAATTTTTGGGAAATTGCATACCTTAGTACGAGTGACAGGGCTCTGGCTTTTCATTGATTATTCAATATTTTATAAATTATGTGGGGTTTTGGGGTTTTGGGGTTTTGGGGTTTTGGGG